TAGATTTGTGCGTCTGGAAACGTTCTATCCTTTTTTTAATTTTTTTAAAATTAGTGTTAATTTTTGACAAGTTTTATGTCAATTTTTAATAAATGGCATCTAGAGATTAGCCTCGCCAAAATTATCATCCATTATTTTTCCCCAGCCGTCTTTGACGCCGTTTTTTTTCGATCAGACGGTACAAAGGCAATGGAAATTATCACTGGCATGAAATCCACATATAACACATAAATAAAATCTGATTAAAAATAACATTATACAAGAATAATATTTCTTATAATAACCTACATAAATATTGCGAAAACAAAATTGTATTGTTTTAATAAATAAACAAAGGTGATGATTAAATAAACCTACATAATAGAATTTGCAGACAGCGAATAATTAATATTTACAACCCATTAAATTTTGAGGAATGTATAACACATGGTTTTTAATTATATTTATGATTTAATTGTTACTTTTCTCCATTTTTTGGTATTAAAAATAATTGTTATTTTAAACCTAGCAACTGTTAAATTGCTTATAATACATAATTACATGCGGTACAATAAAATTCGAAATGTACAGGGTGTTCCTTAATGACATGCTAATATTTAAGGACTTATTTTAAGATAAAAAAAACTTCATATGAATGTATGACTTGGATAATAACCCTGGATAGTAAACTGTTCCAGAGAAGTTTACTATCCAGGGTTATTCCCAGATATTTCACTTCCTGTGATAGCAGTATTTCCATATGGAAATACTGCCATCACAGGCTTTCCATATGGAAATGGAACAGGCATATTAAGAACATTACCAGCAAAGCCACAAAGGCTCTCATGATATGCAGAAGACTGGCGGGAAATAACATTTTGCGCTGGATGTATACATACATACATACCGCCATTACTCGCTGATGAGTATTTGACACGCATCAGAAGATGGTCACGCAAGGCGTTTTCTTTCATGAGCTTTTCTGTGACTGAAAAGCCCGATACGTGATGTTATCTGTCTACCGCACTCCAGATATTCAAAAATCTCATTGCTTTGTTGCCTCTTTACTTTTTGGTTGTCGCTGTTAACTGACTTTACAATTCTTCTCCATTCCGTTCTATTGTGAGCTGCCCCTTCCCACTCATTCTGCTTGTTAATTCCTTTTAAGTTTTCGTGGAAAATATCCTTGAACCTTTTGAGTTGTCCACCCGGCCTCCTCTTACCGTCTACAAGCTCACCGTAAAGCAGAGATTTTGGTATACGGTTTTCTTGCATTCTGCATACGTGACCAGCCCATCTTAAGCGGGACTTTGTAACCATGACTTCAATACTCTCGCAGTTAGCTTTTTCCAGGACCGATACGTTTAAGACATGATGGAACCATTTTATTCTTAAGAGTTGTCTAAGATGTCTTATTCTTAAGAGTTGTCTAAGACATGATGGAACCATTTTATTCTTAAGAGTTGGCTGGATGTATACCATGATAGTAAGACCCATGATTACTTATGGAGCAGTTGCTTGGTATACAAAACTAGAGCAACGTACAGCAAGGCAAAACCTGTGCAAAGTACAGAGACCAGCATGTATCTGCATCACAGGTGCCATGAAAACATGTCCAACAGCAGCAATGGAGGTCATTCTAGACCTAACACCACTGCACATCGTCGTCGGTAGTTATGCCAATGCGACAATGATTAGAATGGTCATTAACGGAAACAGTACTGGGAGAATTTTCAGGTCAAGGGCTTGGAACACCCTCAAAAAGAAAATTCCACTTCTCCAACTCCCAGTGGATGACAAACCAAGAATTAACCTCACTGTAGTATTGAGTAATAAAAAGGATTGGGGAAGAAAGAAACGCTTACTGAGCATATAAAAGACCATACCATCACGTGGTATACTGATGCTTCCAAAACCAAAGCAGGGACAGGGATAGGAGTATTTGGGCCGAAAACTAAATACTCCGAACCAATAGGCACCTACCCCAGTATCCTTCAGGCAGAAATTTACGCTATAGAAAGATGCGTACAATTTATCTTAGATAGGAACTATCGAAAACAGGAAATTGTCATCCTATCCGATAGTCAAGCAGCACTTAACGCAATCAACTCAGTAACCATCAATTCGAAGTTGGTCAAAGAATGCCTAGAGAAGCTAAACAAATTAGGCAAAGAAAATAAAGTCCTCCTACTCTGGGTGCCTGCTCACCAAGGCATAGAAGGCAATGAAAAAGCAAATGATCTAGCTAGGAAAGGAGTGAACACTCCACTAACTGGAGCAGAACCGTTCTGTTTTCCAAACGGGAACTGAAGAATCTGGAAGACTCTATCCGTAAGTTGGAATGGGTGTCCTCCAACGGTCTAAGACACTCAAAAAAGTTCCTCAGAACTTACGACCGAGAAAAATCAAAGGTTTTCCTTGATTTAAGTAAAAACAATCCTCGGATTGTCATGGGGTTTCTAACAGGACACTGTCTCCTCAACAAACACCATAGTAGGCTGAAGCTGAGAAACAACGGCGAATGCAGATTTTGTGGGGAAAATGGGGAAACACCAGAACACCTTATCATGAGTGCGCCGAGACGACGACCATTCGTGCCATGAACTTTGGTACGTCTGATGTCGAGGATGGAGAGCTGGTCTCTGTGGAGCCGTCTCAGATATTGGCTTTTGTTAAAGCCCTGAGACTGTATGATGAGTTATAACTCAAGAAAGGGGAACACACAATAGATCTATAAGGTCGCGGTGATTAACTCCCCTCCTAAACATTCTATATTCTACATTCTACATGAATGTATGAAAACATAACCTTAACATCTTAACTTTTGAGATACAAGTTGTATAATTTTTTTTAGAGAAAGTTATAACTCTAATGTTATTGTAGATATTTTTATAAAAATCCATACGGGTCTTCTATGCTTAAAAATGAATTTTTTGGTGTACAGAAAAAAATTGTTTTGTATCTCTTAATTTATATCCTGACGATGCATCAGTCAGCTGGATGCAGACTTCCTCACAACTGTAAGAGCATCGCATTTTTAGCGATTTAACCCTGAAGTAAAATTACTTTTATTTTTTAAGCAACACATATGAGTCGGACGAAAAAAATCAAGACAAGAGAAGTCAGTGGCGTACCATTTTTTCCTTCAAAAGAAATTCAATGCAAAACCCGTATGGACGCCACTGGTTGAAATAAATAAAATTTCTTATAGATCAAAATAGGCACTTTGATGCATAAAAGACGTGTATTAAGATTAATAGAGATATTTAGAATAACATCAGAGTTATTATGAAAAAAATTACGTCATTAAGAAACACCCTGTATATGTTAAAAATTAAAAGGAAGTTTGACTTACCATAAAGGTTTGTTTTGCCTTCCTGAATTATAACCATCAATGAAAACAAAATGGTAAAACTCTTTAACATCACTGTAATTTTCTAAAATCAAATATGAATATCCGAATTTTTCAATACATACTGAGACAATATTTTTAATATTAGTATATATGCCAAAGATTATCTGAAATTATTTATAAACAAATTGATTTCGCCGTTCTTGATGATAATTTTAACATTTATTCCTATTAACATGAAATATTTAAAATAACTATCTCAATTAGGTTTTCATATATTGTACAGAGCGTTTGAAAAATAAAAAGCAACATTTCGGGAGACGATTCTTATTAAAACCTACATAATCAAAGAGATTTATAAAGTTCAAAATTAAAATTTTATGTTCTTACAGTGTCATACTCTATACAGAACGTCGGCTACCAGGCAAATATACTCAAGGTGGTGTGCCATTGCCTTCCTTGAGATGGCGGCTGAGCTGGGGCCCGCTGGTCGCTCTATTTAGATAAATCAATATTTTTATTTAAACAAATAAAGCGACCGTACTGGCTAAGAATCGAACCCAGTACCTCTCGCACCGCAGATCGACACATTACTGCTTGCGGTACGGCCGGCCACATATTAATACTACCAAATACAATTAAAAAGGATACAATGAACAAAAAGCAAAAACATGAAAGTATTATTCGAGTTGGGAATATAGTTTTCTAAAGAAATATTTAGTAAATATGTTACCACTGAGCACCTCCCTGTTGAACACATAATAAACATCTTTTGGGCACAGTTAATTGCAGCTATTTATTAATTCAACTTGCTTCACACGCAAAAGCTGGCCGGAAAATTAAAGCTACAACGTGATGCCTAGTATATCATTTTAGACGCAAAATGCTGCAATGTTTTCTAATTTTGGGGTTTAGTACAATTTTTTTTTTCGTGTACTAGCCTCCTGCAATTCTTCTCTCATATACCGTATGATCGAAAAAAAACGGCGTCCAGGTTGTCTGGGAAATGACGATCAATGATCTTTCCCATATAATTTTACATATAAAATGACAGCTATCTTCATTTCATAGCCATCGGTAACGCTATCATACGGTATATTTTAATTTAATAACTTGACATAAATTGAATAATATAAAAATTCAATAATTAAATGACAACAGTAATTTGACAACGATAAGACACATATTTAAAAATAACGACATTTTTTTAATATTAAATTAATAATAATAATAAAATAAATAATAATTAATTTTATTATTAAAAAAGGCAGTATAGAATAAAACTGATTATGCCACTTATTTTAATGCAGGTAGATTGCGAGCGAGCAGAGGATTGTATTTTCTGTCAATTTTTGGAATGGTCTGTCGATGATCTGTCACAATCATCCCTGGCTCGTTGGACATATTTTAGTTAATGTGTTGAACAATCTTTGATTAATTATGTTTTTATGTATTCTAACAACTTTGGTATTTATTTGATCTTATTTTTAAGAGATTATATATGCGGTCGATATTGTCGGACACACTGTATCAACTATATTTTTGCTTGCAGATAGCAAATTGGAATGGAAGAAATGCGGCAGGCGATCGATTCCTCCACACGTGACGCCGTCAGATAGACCAGAAGACGACGATGGTCCGGAAACTGCACAATTGCTGACTCGGCGGAATGACACTAGTCCTGTCCCTTCTATTAACCATACTGTGCACCGTCGGAATTATATTCAACGTCTATATCGTTTTGATTATACTGCTAACCAGACAGGTAACATATATATTTTTAAGACAATAATTATTCTTTTACAATGGATTCGAATTTGTACGTTAATTTCTTCGAAAATACGAACTCGTATAGCATTTTCAATGTCATTTGAACTGATTTGGGGCTATTAATTTCGTCACTGCCGCCATTATTCTAAATTAAAATAGAAAAATAGATACCTTAGAACAGGTCTACAAGTTCAAATAATTGGGGTCCTGGATAGTTATCACCTGCAACAACGACATGAAAATAAAAACCAGAATAGAACAGGCGAGAAATGCATTGTTACAAATGAAGAACGTTTTCCAGAACCCCTGATTGGACCTTGAGTTGAGAACTAGGCTCGTTAAGTGTTATGTTTGGTCAATCTTATTATACGGGGCAGAAACATGGATACTGAAAGTTCAAGAGATGAATCGCCTCGAATCGTTCGAAACATGGATTTATCGAAGAATGCTTAAAATTCCTTGGACAGCCCATGTCACAAATACCGAAGTCTACAAGAGAATATAATAAAAATAAGAAAAATATCATACTTAGGGCATATATTGAGAAATGAAAGATACTACGTCTTACAATTAATAGTTAAGAGTAAAATTGAAGGAAAAATAGGTCTCGACAGGAAGAAACTATCTTGGTTGAGAAACATCAGAAACTGGACTCACCTAACTTTTGAAGAACTCATAAGGAAAGCCGAGAGTCGTGAAGATTTTGCCAATGTTATCGCCAACCTCGACGTAAGAGACGGCACGTAAAGAAGAAGAAGTCTGTCGCCATTGTTGGTATCGTCCAAAAGGAGTTCAAGTGACTTTGGAAATACTTTTCAAATCAAATTTCAAACCTCTGACGAGGGGCGGGGGAATCAACAACTCACAATCTTTTATGATGTTTATTTCAAAATTTAATTTGATTTAAATACTTATATTTTTATTTTTTAAATGAATCCCGAAACACGTCGCCCCATTTTTAAATCAAATTAAAGTCAGAGATTTTACATTGATATGTACTCATACTGGGTTGGAGAACGTTTAGTTACTTTTCAAATCAATTCTTATAAATTTGTACGACCAGTATGCTTACATTGAAAAGTTCTTAGTCGTTATGGAATATGGATGGTGTCAATATTTTTGTTATTGAAAAAGCGATAAGATAAAATTTTATGTGGAATTTAGAGATATAAAAGGAAATTTGTAGACAAAAAAAATTATTTGTGCACTATGTGCGCATATTTAAAGTGAGATTTCATACTAACAGCAATGGAGTAATAAATTAAAAAAGAGTAATAAATTAAAAAATATTTTTTTACGCGTAAATACAGTTTTTTGCTTATAAAAAATAGTTTTTAACGCGTTAAAAATAGTTTTTTCCGCGTAACAAATAGTTTTATACGCGTGAAATAACAAATTAATAAATAATTTGATTCACTTTCACAAAATTTGTATTAAAACATTGTAACGTTTTTAGTTCGTTACATGTCTTTTTTACATATGATATATGATGTCTGGCCTATCATCACCGGATTCCCTCTCGTTCAGGCCGGATAGTTTATTTGACGCGTAATTTTTACGTTCCCTAGTCGCCAACCCTGTTATCGTTCGACACAACCCTGTTACTATTCTGTGGAGTCGCGCGCTGTCAACGTCGCTTCTGTCAACTCTCTCCGTGCTTAACCTCACTTTGTTTTGACTCTCTGTTGTATCCCAGCTTTTAAAAATGGTGATTATTTAAATCTTGCTGTATAATCTGAATCAGCTGCTATTTCAAAGCAACAGGTAAAGATGAAATATTATCCTTTTAGATTCGATATTATTATTGAATATTTTTAGGGTAGAGTTACGGATGTCCCAACTTGTATTTGTGTTTTGCTGGCACGTTGGCGTCCCTTTTCTTTTGTCCTCCAGAATGTCACATGGAAGAAAGGACATGTTGTTTATTATTTATTGAGCCCTCGGAAGTATTTCGAGGTAGGTTTATTTTGTTTATTAGACCTTGTTTGGTTTTAAACAAGAGTTTCATATTTTTATGGTCCAAGATACGGACTGTGTCCAAGGTACGGACTATTTCCAAGGTACGGACTGTGTCCAAGGTACGGGTAGTGCCTTATGTATAGTCTGTCCAACGAGAAGATCCTTGACAGTGATAGATGTGTCTGTCATTTTAATTTCAAAGTAGTTTATTTTATTTTACAAAGAAATAAGTTGGTACAACTCATAGATAAAAGAAAATAATCTACTATTAAGATAGATATGAAACTTAATAGTAAAATTTTGGGTCAAAGCGCCCCTCCGTGTTTTTAGTGGAGACTACGTTTAACCCAGCGCCTTCGCCTTTTCTGCTGTAAATGTTTTTATGTATATATAACAATACATATTGAATTCAAAGAAAAACAAATATATATTGAATTCAAAGGATTTATTTTTAGAGTTACACTGATATATTAGTATATCAGAGAAACTTTAATAAAACATAAGAATATATATATTTTACAATTTATTTTTTTATTTATTTTACAGAGTTTCATGTAAATGATCGTAAGTCGACTGGCTGTTTAATGAATAGACCGAGATTTATAGATTTTAAAGCGAACGAAAAAAAAAATCAAACAACGAATACATACCATATATTTTCTTTTATCTGAGGTACATACCTTATCGTCTTTTGGAAACACGTACATTTTTGCAGTTTTGTTAGTTTCTTTGCAAGATGCAACACAACAAGAAAACACCATTTTTACAGTTAATAAATAATAAAACTATTTCTGACTATGATATTTAAAATTTAGATAGATAGAAAATTAAAAAACAAACGAGTATTTGCAAACGCAGGCCCAAATTCAATAAAAATCAAACTTTTTCCTGCGAAAATGAGGCTTTTTTCACTGAAACGGTATTTTTTTATTTATCAGCAGTCATTGTCAAGTTGACAATATACAGGGTGTTTTCGAATTAGTCTAAAAAAATTATGGTGTAGGAATCACACCATAATTTTTGTTTTTACTTTACCATAATTTTTGTCATGTGTTCTTAAAACAATTTTTATATAACCATTAGGTCTAAAGTACTTCCTTTCTGATCTACAGGGTGTTAAAAATTTTAAAAAATCGATTTTTTGCTTAGCATAAATGGTACACCACTGCTTTTTTAAAGAAAATAATTTTTTTTCTTGACTGGCCATCCTTTTTCAACAAAATTGATCTTTTGAGTTTTTCTTGTTCATCAAACGGTTGTCGAGGAAAAAATAAATATACTTATTAAGAGCCCGCCTTAATTCGTTTTCTAACGATTTTTTATTTTTTAGATTAATTAGGAAACACCCTGGATATGCATATCACAGGCAACCAAATAAACTAGTAACCTCTAAAAATTATTTTTCCTACCACTAGCGACATACCGTGTTTTTAGTGTGTACTAAATTATTTTATCAAAATTTCACCATATAAGTTTCCAGGCAATGGTACAACTGGAACGCATAGCAGGAAATATTTAAAATTTGATTGACAAGATGACAAGTGATTACTTCAAAATATTGTGAAAAAAACTGTATAAAACTGAAAAAATGTAATCGAGTTATTTTATTTAATAAAACCGGTATGTGTTAATACAAAACAAACAAGAACAAGACACTACATACCAAAAAAATATAAAAAAGAACTAATTTTTACTTTCAAGCTTTATGAAACTACCCGCATTTATGATTATATTTATCAATATAACTTATGTACAAATACAAATTTGTAATCTTCCACAGGAATAAATAAAACAACATAGGTAAATAAAACAAACTATTTTATTAGTAATAACACCTACCAAATTTTATACCTTAAAGGTTGATTAATTAACTTTAATCTTAATTTTTTTAAACCAGTACCTTTTGACATTATTTTTCTGCAGTACTAAAATCCATTATTTACCTATCGTGTGATGTCGATATTTTACAGCTACTCCAGTTTTTAGTATGTGTTTAGTTTGATCCTTCTACCATATATGAGATGCACTTATCTACGACGAGATGGTATACAAACTTTAACTATGGCAACTTCATTGGTGTATAAGACTTTCTGCCTGGGTAGCGAGTATTAACCATAAACTGGTGCTCTGGGTCTACAGTTAATTTTCACTCGATTTTTCCTCCACTTGACTTCAAAAGACACAAAACACACGTAATAATACGAATCAAAATGCATCATCTTCCAAAACGCAGGGTATTTAACAAAAGTTGACACAAAATTATAACCTATAATTTGGCAAGACTTTGACAAGCGTCAAAAATGACAAAAATCTAAAGGCGAATTCATACGCATCGGCGTCCGTTTATCGTTCATCGTTCCGTCAAGCCAATAAAATTGAAATACGATCTGTCATTTTTTAAATAAACCAATAAAACTGGTTAAAAACAACAAGACACGACGCATGACGGATTTATATTTAAACCCATCCATAGATAACTTAAAAATTATTAGAAACTTTTTTTAGTAAAATAAATAGATTGGTATGGGACGTCATCTGCTTTTCTTCTGTCATCGTCTGTCGAAATCTTACCTGAGAAAAAAAACAGAGTATACAGACATTCTCTTATGTACAGATGTCCTGTGGACGAGTGTCCCCAGTAAGAACGATTTTTTCTTACATCTAAGTGCCACAGCGTGGATGTAGCTTGAGTCCCATGCTGCTTCACTCCCATTTCTAAGCCTAGTCAGTAGCTACGGCTGTAAGGATTCATGGTGTCCTCAATCTGGCCCCTTTTGTTGTTTTGACCAACAGGATCGCCGACAGACAGTACAGAGATGCTAGACCACCTCACGCTGCTACTGTTTGAAGCAAGGTTACATAAAAGAACAGCTAAGTGTATATTTAAGTTCTAGTTTTACATTTAACATCTAAAACATTTTCAGTCTAAAACAATAACGTACATCTTAAGTAATATCGTACAGACTATGTTCAGTGGTTAGATGTTAAGAACATTCATGTCGATATAATCTTTAAAATATAATTTAGATCTTAGGT